TTTTTTTAATAACTCTGTAAACCAGCTTAGATCATTGTATTTCAAAATAAGAATGTACCAAAAATATAAGTGAACTTGAATATTATTGAATGTTGTTTAATCCCTTTTCAATGATTTGGAACACCATTCAAGATCTTGCAAATTTTCAGCGTTATTATTTTGAAAGGAGTTCTCATAATATAGCTCTCTAGATGCAGAAGATAATAGAGCCTGGACTGTGTACCAATTTATGACAGCTCTTTTTACATTCTTAATATTCTTATATACTTATTTGAATTAATAAGTACAAAAAGTGGAAAATATTTCTACTTTATGTTTCAGGAAATTGAACTTCATATGACACCTAAGGGTAAAGGATTTCAAGGATCTACACATATATCCAGAAGAAAGTGTAGTAAAGCTGCATTCATTTAGAATTTTTGCTAATTTAAACAAAAAGTCATGATTCTTAAGAACAAAATTCAGATAAACTCTTCCATTGTGAATTAGGTTTTATTCATAAATAAAGATTTATCCAATCAAAAGTCAATAACTTTTTTAAACAAAGAACTCAAGGAATTATATCTAATTGCAACTTACTTATCATTTATATGTGATTATTTTAATCTGTAATCCAGGAATTAATTCTTATATTACCTAAAATGTTTTATAGATGTGTTATATTATTACATAATATAACCTTATTATAAATGGTAATGGTGTCATTAACTTAGCTCATTTTACTTGTTTAATGCCTGTTTGTTCTTAGTTTATAGTTGTTAATTCCCTTTATAGTATGACTTGTACTTGGAAGTAATAAAATCAGATTTCTTTATAAATATTTATGGTACAGACCTTTCCCTAAACCAGACTGTAGCCCTTTCCTTTCCTAATTATTTCTAATAAAGTCTGCTTATATCTTTTTTTTTTTTTTTTTGGCCTGCGTAGCAGTCTGTACTGCATACTCCCTAGAAAATTTAATCCTGGATGTTTATGCCTTAACTTCCAATTAATCAAAATCTTGTTAACTTCATGTAGGTCTGGTGTTACAAAGTGTGGAAAGGTAGTACTTAAAGAGTTTAAACAGGTACTTCTAATATGGAATCTTCTTAGCATCTACAGTCAAAAGACATCACTAAGTGAATGAGTCCTCTTCTTGAATATCAATCTTTCCAGGAGGATCTTTTTTTCATTATCATCACTTTGTTTATCTCTTGTTGAAAGTATCCATTAGTAGCAGGTAGCAAAAGGCAAACAGAACATGCTTTTTGAGAGTCTTAGGTTCTTTATTAAGACCTTAAAATTTCCAAGATTTCCTTTTCTCTCCTTCTTGATCTTAGATGAGATTGAAGTTTATAGCGCTTTGGCCACATTTGTCCCCATAAAGGATGCAAATTTGTAGTTTCAGAAGTTCCAGACACCAATGAAAAGCACTATTCAGTCTTTTACAAATGTCCTCTAGGCCAAATTTCATCACAGATACAGTAGTCTCCCTTACCTGCAGGGGATATGTTCCAAAGCCCCCATTGGGTTCCTGACACTGTGGATAGTACCAGACCCTATATATACTATGTTGTTTTTCTTCTGTACATACAAACCTATGATAAAGTTTAATTTATAAATTAGGCATAGTAAGAGATTAACAACAATGAATAATAATAAAATATAACAATTACAATAATATACTGTAATAAAAATTATGTGATGGGAATTGCCTGGCGGTCCAGTGGTTAGCACTCCACGCTTTCACCGCAGGAGACCAGGTTTCCATCCCTGGTTGGGGAAATAAGAACCCACATACCACGCGGCATGGCCAAAAAAAAAAAAAAAAATTTGTGAATGTGGTCTCTCTCTCTCAGATTATCTTATTGTACTGTACTCACCCTTATGATGATGATAGGATATGATACAATGCCTGCGTGATGAAATGAGGTGAGGTGAATGACACAGATATTGTGATGTATCATTAGGCTAACATTGACCTTCTGATGATAACATCAGAAGGAGAATCATCAAGCCATGATGATGTCTATGGTTGGGCATCCTCAATAGCTGAAGGGTTTTTGTTTGTGTTTGTTTATTTGTTTCAATGAAACCTTTTGGAAGAACATTGTAATTGGAAGTTGTCTCTTTTTAACTCATCAGTGTTTTGCTACAGAGGTTGAATCCTTCAGTGATTATAAGGGTGACTTTAATGCTGCATTCCATCCAAGGATCTTATTCCCTAATTTTGTCCTTTAAAGTCTGTGCAATTTGAAACACTTCAGCAAATTTTGGTAATGTCCGAGTTGCTGGTTCTGCTCCACTTTCTTCTTCATCATCTTTCTCTTCCTCTGTAAATGACTCAACAAGTTCTTCCACTTTCTCATTTGTTAACATTTCTCCATGGTCTTTGATGTGTTCTGCTTCTTCATCAAGCATGTTGGCAAATCCTTCTTACTGTGTGAATGATTTTCCTAACTTCTCCACTGATCCCCAGGAAGCCTTTAAAATCATTCATGACTGCAGGCCTTTACAATTTCTGGTTTTAATTCATCCACTGCAGCTTTGATGAATGTTATTGTGTCAGTAATAATGAATGATTTCTAGCACTGCATTGTGTCCAGATTAGAGTCTGCATCAATTGCTGATCAAATATGATCAAATACAGGGTGGGTGTATGTGACCTGGACAAACTGAATGATGCCCTTGTAAAAGGGGTGAAGCAGTGAAGTTGTATTTGGAGATAAAATTCCAACCTCAACATTTTCACGTTTGTAACAATTCAGGATGACCAGGTACGTTATCTGTTACTAATAGGACTTCAAATTCCACCCTTTCTTCTTCCAAATATTTTTTCACTTCTGGGATGAAGCATTGGTGGAAGCATCCCATTAATGAGATAACTGTCACCCATGCTTTCTGATAATTTTTGGTTTTGTTTTTGAGAGCACATGGGTTCTTCACCCTGAACACTACGCACACTACACCTGGCTTTATCATATGCCCTGCAGTGTTGCCACATAGTACCAACGTTCATCTGTCCTTCCATGTTTTATGCCCTGGTGCCTCCTTTGCACTTTTATGAATGTAGCTTCTATTGGACATCTTCTTCCAGAAGAGCCCAGTTTCATCACCACTGAAGACTTGCTTTGGATGGTATGCTATCTCCTTAATCAACTCCTTCAGCACTGCCGGAAATGTGGCAGTAGCTTCTTCATCAGCAGACACAGCCTCTCCAATAATTTTTATATTTTTCAGTCCAGATCTTTTACTGAATCTGTAACCATCCTTTACTTGCAGTAAATGGCTTGGCTGTCACTTGTTTCAGGGGATCCCTGGCTGAAGTGTTCCTATAGGCTCAGTGTTTTCTGGCGCAGCACGTTGCCGTCAATAGGAATAAATCTTCTGTTCATGTCCTCCACCCCAAAACTTAATGCCTTTTCCATCTTAGTTAAGCACTTGTCACATACTCTGGCCATAACTTTTGCTGTTTAAGGTGCGACATCAAATCTAACACAAATTTCTTTTTCCTTCTTCACAATTTCACAGATAGAAGCTTCGTTCTTACTGTAGATCTGTCTTAGCAACCTCAACATATAATATTTTTTTCTTTCCTCATTAAGTCAGGAACTTTCACCTTTTCACTTAAAGGAAGCACTTTATGGCCTCTCTTTGGCATATCCAAATCTCCAGCATCACTACTCTTGTGCTTTGGGACCATTAGTAAGTAAAATAAAGGTTACTTGAACACAAGCACTGCAGTACAGTGACAGTCAATCTGATAACCGAGGCGGCTACTTGAGTGACTTACAGGCGGCATACGTAGGGATGATTCATATCCAGGGCAGGATGGATTGGGACGGTATTCAGAATGGTGTGGAACTTAAAACTTATGAATTGTTTATTTCTGGAATTTTCCACATAATATTTTCAGACTTTAGCTGACCGCGGGTAACTGAAACCGCAAAAAGCAAAACTGGATAACGGAGACTACTGTAATGCCATTCCACTGTCATGTGCCAAGTTTAAAGTAGTGTATTAGGTTACTCTGTAGTCAAAAGAACCAAGAACCAAGTCCAGACTGCTGTAAGAGAAGAGCTCATTGCACTGTCCATTTTGTTCTGCCCATGCATTCAGTGGTAGCTTTCCCTTTTGTTATTTGACTGATAGTTTGGAGGAAATAGTGACTCCGTTGTAAAAAGTAACCAGATTAAGTTATCCGTAATAAGCCAACTAATATCAGTAATCCTTGACATTGGCATCAAGTATTATTCAGAATAGTAGTTATATTTTTATTGTGCCATTGTGATTTTCTATAGAGAAATACTCAAGACTCATTATTTGTATTTTTTAAATTTACAGCTCTTTAACTATATCCAAGATTTCATTGCCAGGAATGTAGCCAGTCTTGATGCTTTATTAGAGATCCATGATCTAGTACTTAATACTTCCTTTAGCTCATAGTTTCTGTTCAAGTATTTTTACTGTCCAAAAATGTACTGCTACCATTTACAGTTGTTCCTCAAAAATGTGAACTACCTAAGTGTAACTCTTAACAAAACACATACAACATCTGTATGCTGAAAATACCAAAAAGCATTGCTTACAGATGGCTTTTCACCTTGGTTCCCAAGTGCTCATGTACAGAATATGGGCTTCATGTTCTGTCTCTCTCTCTGGCTGATGTAGGAGCTTCAAGCTTTCCTGGGTGAGTTTGTATATTGAGTGTTTACAAAGAGAAGTCAGTCTGCCTTTCTTTGGCTCTAATTGCAGAAAGTGAAGTCACCGCTTTTGCTGTCTTGGATCAAGACCAGAAAGAAATTGTTGATACCAATGGAGCTGGAGATGCATTTGTTGGAGGTACGGACTCATTTATTTCATACTTACTTACAAGTTAAACATTTCCTTTAACCCTGTCTCTGCCACATAGCCAAGATTTATGAATATAGTAACTTTTAATTTCTGCTTTTAAATAATTAATTTCTGATGTTTTTTCCATATGCTACTATCATTGTGTTATGAGGGTATATTACTACAGGAAAATATGTATTTTGGGCTTAAAGATAATTTACTGTTACGCTATATCCCAGTCATTTTCACAAGATTAATTGTGTCTGTCAGAATATTGCATAAACAAGCTGCATCAAGACAGTACATAGTATATTCATAGCCCTTCAGGCTTAAATGTTAACAAATTGTTGTTCTTTAAAACACATTGTGAATATTAATAGTACGCTAATAGCTAAGGATGATGTCTTTGGATTATATCCTTTAGTTAAAACATCTGTTTCTAACACAATAGTTGGATGTTTATTGTACCAGGAAGGGTTAAATTTTTGTCTCATTAAGGTTCAATAAGAACTGGCACAGTTTATAAAAACTAAATCATTCTTGGAGTGAGTAGTCAAAAATAAGATCAAGACAATTGGAAGAGTTTTGGCTTGATAACTTAGATTGATCTAAAATCGGATTCAAAAGTTCTTTTCATATGTCTGAACTCCTTCTAGCCAAGTGTAGTTAAGCTAGGTTAAGATCTCTAGAAAGCTTTAGACTCCTGAGTGATAGCCCAGAAGAGTCCCTCCTGACCTTTATTTCTCATAACATCAAGCGAGACAAGGAAAAAAAGGCGAATGGAGCTGACCCTTGTCTTCCTTTCCTTGGAAGATAAGTTGAATTATGGGAAACTTATTTAAGATTGTATAATGGTTTGAACTTAATGTTACTTAAAATATTTATATTCTTTTAATGTTCACTAGCATAAATTTTTCATGTTTCCTTCTTTGAAACTTTTCATGCCTAGTCTTAAATGAGCTGTTTACCATTAGACTGGTAGCATGCCCCATGCCATCTTTTTTTGGAAAGAGTACATACAACAAATAATGTTCTACTTTACTGTCACGCACGTATCTTTTATTCCTTTGCTCTGAAAGGCTTCATCACTGATTATTTTGCAGCTGTTTTTCCTATTCCATACCGCTTCAGAGCTGTAAACCCATGTAGCCTAAAAATACCTTATCCAGAATTGGGCCAAATTCTGTAATACATTAAGGAGACACTATTGATTTCCTGTTTAGAAATTGGTTAAACTAGGAATCTAGTACAGAAACTTTTAAATTTATAACTTGTGTGTGTGTTATTTAAGCACTTTAAAGTACTTAAAACAGTAAGTATTCTCTTTCTTTGCTATTTAGTTGGGTACATCCTGAGGCTGTCATAGATACGATGGTGACCTAATTAGGCACTGCTCCTGGGCCTGAGGCCTGGGGCTTCCTGGCCTTGCAACAACAGATTCCTTTATAGACCCCTAACTACCTATAATGCTTCCACTACGAGGTAGGAATATATAGACTTTTTGAGGAAGAGGGAAGTCATTCTTAGGATACTAAAATAGGAACAGCGAGCTAGCCATTTGTATTACAGTTAGAGTGATAAATGAACTATATCATCAAAGCCCTTGGGCTCTTTGTTACAGGATTTTCGGCCTCTTTCTTATCTCACTCTGGTTACCCAGACTCATTTATATACTTATTCTTGGGGTACAGTGAGGTAAGTAAAAAGGAAAGAGTGTGGAACAGTGATTTGCGAACCTTTTTTCCTAAAGGGCCAGACAGTGAATACGTTAGGCTTTGCAAGCCGTATACTGCATATTCTTCTTGTTTTCTTGCTTGCTTTTTGTTTTGTCTTTGGTTTTTTGCAGTACTCTAAAAATGTAAAAACCTTTCTTCGCTCTCCAGCTGTACAAAAACAGAGCATGGGCTGGATTTGGCTCTCAGGCTATGGTTTGCCAACCCCTTTTGTAATATGTTGGCAGCCTCCTCACTTTATTCACTTTCATCATACCCTGGATTTCACTACGCACTGTTGAAATCAGTATAGAGAAAGTGGAAGTCAAGCTGAAACTAGGCAGAACTTTACTGGTAAAACCTCAATTAAGTAGCCATTTTTCTCATTTTAACCCTACTCTCATTGGTTCCCAGGATATTCAGATCCTGAAAGACTGAGTCATGCAATGAGATGAATACTCTAATGTCATTTTAACAAGGAATACTTATGCTGGCGTGTTCAGCACATTCTGTCTATGTACATCAAGCTATATAGTAATAGCATAGATAACATTTATGCAGCACCTACTAGCCAACTGATATCTTAGACACTTTACGTATATTAACTCGTTTAATGTTCATAAAAGCTCCTTGAAGTAGGTTATTTTTAACCCCATTTTACTGATGAGAAAACTGAGACACAGAGGGGTTAGATAACTTTCCCAAATTCTCGTAGCTAGAAAGTAGCAGAGCCAGAATTCAGACCCAGGCAGTCTGAACTGTACTGCTTCTCTAAACTTTTAGGGAAATCTCATCATTAGGACTCAGAACCACAGACCCGCCTTTCTAACAAAAGCTGGTTTTGCCAGAGAGAATGTTCCTATTGACTGAATAGATGACTTCATTTATTGAACAGGAGGTTTTGTTACACAATAGGATTCTTAGGACTCTGGGGTAAGATTGTTGCAGAAAAGAAAGTGAAAGGGAAGAGAATCGAAGGACTTAATCCCAGGTGAGTTTGAACCAGGAGCTTTCTGCTAAGCAGTAGAATTGATTGCACTACAGAGATACAGAAAGCCAGATCATAAACTCGCTTGGTCAGCATGGAATCCGAATACAGGGAGTTATATGAATCAACTGTTTAATAGCACCAGGCTGATACATCCATCTTACAATAGAGATGTTCTGGTTAGTTGGAAATACTCAAAAATCCATTGGCTAAAATCCCCTACTCCCATCTCTACACCAGGGGAAGGCTTTCTAGTAGGATTGGAAATACTCTATCTTTTGAAGTATACTCCTCTACCTTGATCATGAATGGAGAGGCAATGATGGCAACTTTTGCATTTACTATGTAGTTTCTTTTTCTTTGCTTGATTGCCTGATTAACGTGTCTCCTTTCTGATTGACACATTTTATCTTTAGATGGTTAATATATTCCTCCTATTACTTTCAAGTTTTGCTGGCTTACAAGCACTTCTTTCTTTTGTGACTTTGCATAACTATATTCCAGTCCCAATTTCAAGTTCTTAGATAAACCATGACTTCACCTACCGTGTGCTGATATTACATATCCCAATACCAGAGTGCCATGCGTTCTCATTAGCCACATAAGAGATACATGACTACATCATAGATTTTCATGTATAATTTTAAAATGAGTACCCCAAAGGAACATAAATTAAATTCATAGTTCCGTCTCGAGAGTTTGGTAACAGTGACAAATCCCTCTAGCCTCCACAAGCATACCTCCTTGTTCTATTTGGAGACCTTAAACACTTTCTAATGTCTGCCCTTTACTTGTCACTAGCCAGCCCTGATGGAACTACCCTTTTCACATTCTCCCTCAAAAGCCAAAGCGCCACGATTGTACCCTTGGAAATGGAGACAATTCTATAATCTCTAAGTATGATTTCCTAATTTCCCAGGTCAGTTGAAAATTTCTTCCTGTTGTCCTGCTGTGCTTTGTCACAGCAGGTCTGCCTTTTCATTTGGAACCCTCTTTGTCACTGCCATAGTAACAAATGGAAACATTGAGAACATTTTGTGACAGGCACTGTCATTGTTCCCTGTGAAATCTCTTCCCCTGTGTCTTCCCAGTAAATGAAACTGAGAAGAAAAATCATAACAAATAACATGAAAGGGGACCTAATCAATATGTTCCCAGTGGGCTGTCAATACCAGCCTGTGTTAATCTAATATGATTTAGTTGTATGTTTTATGGCAGCTATAGGAATATGAACTAGACCTACAAATCATCTTTAGACTAAAAGTGAGTGCACCTTTGACAGATTATACCCAGGCACGTACATCTAACTCTCAGAAAAAAGTCTAGAGACCTTACCCAAGGACCAACATTCTTAGGTTTAAAAAAGCTTCATTAAATGTTAAGAGCCATATATAGCTTAGAATAGTTTATTTGAATGATAGTAAAGTAACTGTGCTGCCTTTAATACTTCTATTTTCAAATTTCTCATGACAGCTTTATCAGGGAAAATGTATTATCCTAAACGATATTACCTACAATATGAAAATGACTTTTAAAGCCACTTAGCAATCACAGTATAAATACTTATCCTATTTCCCATCTAATAAAAAGGAGCATTAATTTCACTTTCTAATTCATGTTCAGAAAAGACTTTTTGTTTAAAAAAAAAGATTTAAGTTACCAGAGCAAGGATATTACTTCCTTTTCAAGTAGCACCTGTCTATACTTCAGAGAACCATAGGGAATCTCTAAGTTATGTTTACATTTTCTATTCTCACCTTGCTTTTTATTCCCAAACATTTGTAACTTACTCTCCCGTTCTTCTTAACTGCTGCTTCATTGTGCTGTACAGAGAAGTGGTGTAGAATTCTGATTTTTTTTTCTGCACCACCCCCTGCCTTTGCTGTCAACTCAGAGGACTAGAAAATAACTTGGTGAGTGTTGAATATATCATTTCTCACACTTCTTCACCCAAAAACGAAACCTTCATATGACCCACTGTATGCAGAAGATTTACTTGTGGATGGTAACCAAGATGATTGCTGCACACTCCTACCCCATCCCACAGCAACAACGATCCCTTTCCCTATCTTTTACCTCTAGCAGGACATCTTTGGTGTTTGATTTCTTAAGCAGTTTCCCTTAAAACCATCAAATGAGGTATGGGATTGACTTGGTCATTAAGAATTTGAAATACACCACAGACAGCAGCTCAAGTTCACACAGGGGGAAAGGGAAGAGAGATTCACACCTTGCACAGTCTTAGGATGCTTCATGACACGCTACTCTGATGTTTCACATCCAGAGATTTTGATAAGTTGACGTTGGAC